AATTGTTTTAATTTAATTCTTAAAACTGGATTATAAATATATATCATTAATAATATCGTAATAGTTATATTTAAAATTAGTTACTTAAATTTGAATTAATTAAATTATTATTAACGTTATTTTAAATTAAATTAAATTAATTTAAATTGAATTGAATTTTTCTCATATCTAAAATTAACGTGATTAATTTTAAATTGAATTTTTATATTAATATTAAATATCATAATTATATGTTTATTTATTATTATATAAATTTTGTAGAAGAGATGAATTCACTTTACAATACTATAATATTATATGTATTTTTATCTATTTACTATGAAACTATAAAATTTTATCTAATCTATTTACTATAAAATTTTATCATACAACATGTTTTCTACCAATAATACAAATAATGTGATGTCTTCTTCACATTGAATAAGAAGGAATCAAAATCAAGACAATAACGAAGATGAAAATACTTTAGATCCGTCACGCCATTCATTTTGGTGGTTAACTATAAGATATAAAATTTTTATATTTGTAGTTATATATTTTTTCTTTCTTCTAAGTTATGTAAAATGAACATTTTGATGTTATAATATAAAAATTTTGATATGATTTTACTGATATTGTTTATATGTTATTCATTAATATTATAATTGTTATTACCCATTATCCAGTACGATTGCACTTCTATGGTTTATATTTTTTTAATAAATTTTTATCTATGAAATTAAATTTGTATTTTTAAAATAAAATATAAAAAGAGTATATTAATATTAATATATTAAAAGATAACTGTAAAATGTATAAATATAATATTTTAGATGTATTGTGATTTTTTAGGAAGAGATCACGCCCGCAACAGCCGCAATACGTTGCGTAACGTTCGCAACATCCACAACCGTGATACCGCATCCTCAACAAAATCCGCAACCGGAATTTGATACTATGACTGCAATCAAGTCGCAGAGCTCATAGTTCGCCAACCTCGAAACACTGTTTGAATTCGGCTAGTAGCTCTCTTTCAGACAAGAACCCGAAGTGTTCCCTTGCTCTAAACCTTTGCACATTTTTGGACGATGGCCGAGAAGTTTGGAAGAAAATGGAGACATATATAATAAGGCTCTATTGGAATGAGAAAAATTATGTATTATGGCCCAAGGTTTTCTTTATAAACATGAGAGTCCATAACATGACAAAAACGAGGGAAAACTATAAATTTCATCACTTAACTTTGAGCATTGATCATGAAACTTTAAAAAAAAATCAATTTGAGCACTAAACTTTCAAATTACCCCCTTTTGTCATTAAATAATATTTAATTAATGGTGCTATAACCGAGCATCTATTTTTTTTAAATATGAAAAGTCTCCAAAACTTTCTTTAATTTTTTTAAAGAAATCTCAATTTCAAATTCTCTTTGATTTTTCTACGATGGAGAATCTTCTTCTGAATCCCAACAGTGGGAAGGTGAAGAAAGAGGAGATGATTGATATGTATTGATCGACCGATGGAGATTGTAGATCAAATTCATTTCTCTCTAGACTCTGGGTTGAATTTTGTGATTTTTAAAGAGATATTAGAAAAATTTAAACAATAGAGTGGTATAAACGATAGACAAGTTCTTAGATGTCTTATGTGATCAAAGAAGATGTTGGAAAATGATGATTCCAATGTTAACATGACACAAGAATGAAACTTTAAGAGTTTGATCTTTACGTGGAAGCAAAAAGAAAACAAAAAAAGAAAAAAAAAGATGTGGCCAGTAGGTGGGTTTCACATCATAATTAAAAATAGAGTAATTAAAAAGTTTAATGATTAAACTGAAAGTCTTTAAAGTTTAACGATCAAATTAAAAATATGATCAAAATTGAATGGTTGTAATTTATCTTTTTAACAATCTTATTCTCCAAGCCTAAAAAAAATCAAAGGGAATCTTAACATTTGTGTAGGGGTTGAAAAGCTAAACACGATTAATCTAAAAATCCAAGGTTTGTGAGATGCTTGGAGACCTAATATTGAATGCCATGAGCCATTCAATTGCAGTTTACCAAAGAAACAAGTGTTGATTTATGGCCATGAACTAAAGAAGGTCCCTTTGTAGGGGTGGTTGCCCACCATGGGGGTGCATTGTAAGAGGACACAACACTTGGAGACAGTTGGTTCGACTGTTTAACGTGTTTGTTTTGTTTGTGTTTTTCTTGTCTTGTCCGTCCACATGTTGGGTTCTGAGTTGATTCATTAGGATCTCCACTTGTATGGTTCAAACTTGAAAGCTTCTTCTCCTTATGTGCCGTCCATGTCTTTGAGTTTGTGGATTTCTAGAGTTTTTGAATATTAAAAAAAATCCAAATTCAAAGTCGGAGTGAAGAGTAAAGGGGTTTTGATTTTTCTTTTGGTTTACTAGTCAATTGTGATTCCTCTTTTATTCCAAGTTCCAACTCTTTCTTGCAACATGACAAGCTAACCAAGATCTATAGGGTTGGTTTTCACTTTGAAAATGAAATACTTGATGGTGGGCAAAGTTAGATGTTTATATTCGGATCAAAATCGGATCATAAAAGATAATAGTATAATTGACGATCGTAAAATTTTTAGGGTTAATTACATTAGACACTACAAAATTTTAAGCGCTGACTCGTTTATACCAACAAACTTTCAATCTTGTCAATTTTAGCACTAACATTTAGTTTTAAGTGCAATTATGTCACTCCACAAAAATTGATAAAAGATTACATTTGTAGGGATTTGAACTTAAGACTTTTTAAAAACAAAGGCTAAAGCTTAACAACTATGCCAACTTAAAATTTTGATATAATTTTATAAACATAATATACATAATATAAGTCATGCATTCGAGATATTATTTTCTAAAAAATCCCATGAAATTATTAAAATTTCCAAAAAAAAACACCTTAAATTCCAAAAAACCCCAAATTCCTAAAAAATCCCAAAAAATCGTAAACTCCAAATTGCAATCCCTAAATTCACCCACCATCATTGTCGATAGCACGTTGTTGCCATCACACTGAAGCCTCCTCCTCTTACCATGCACGCCATTCACCATTTGTTTGTCGACCGACTATCATTCATGGTTCGCTTAGAATATTTCATGACGTTTGACGATCGATTAGCACACCATTCATCGATTTCCAACGACAACAGAGTCGGGTAATTGGTGGTGACGATGGAAGTGGTAGGCCGTGGCCGTTGGTTTGGCGACGATAATGAGTGAAATTAGGGATTTGGTACTTAGGGCTTTGGGTTTTTGAGGAAATTTGAAAACTTTAAAAAAATTAAGATTTTTTTTTGGAAAATTATTATTTTTATTATAAATCATATATATTATAAAACAATATAAATATAAAAATAATATTAAATAAATGATATTAATTCAAACTGTTATTTAACACATATTAGTTTTGTTAGATTTATAATAAGTTCTTATGTTAGCTTGGTGGTTGATTGCTTCTCAATTGGTCTAATAAGTCTCTAGTTCAAATCCCATGGAAAATGTTTTTTCAATTAACAAAATGACGTCGTTTTAGTGAGGCAGTCACATCAGCAACGTCACAACACACGGTTGTTATGTCATCGTCACATTAGATCATTAACGGTAGAGTGGCATAATTGCACTTAAAACTAAACCAAAATTAGTAAAATTGAAAGTGTGATGGTATAAACGAGTCAACTCTTAAAGTTTGATGGTATCTGATATAGTTTACTCAAATTTTTAATAGGATATTTCTATCAGGTATGATTCTATAATTAAAATATAAAATAAAAAGTTATGTTCAATTGAGAGGAAGATAATTGATAAGAAATTGGACGAGGAGCAAGCTTTGGAAGCAAGTAAAAATTTATGTCCAATTCAAGCTGGGCTTCAAGCACCGACCTCGAGACTTGGGTTCAATCCCAAAATTTTTCAGTAGGCGACAATCTGAGTAAGTCACATTACTATGCTTCTCCCTTTCATTATGCATCAATAATGAAGTTTAAATTGAGGATTCTTGTTGTCTAACTTGCAGTTTTCCAGTACTTTTAATAGATATTCTATCAGGTATGATTCTATAATTAAAATATAAATTAAAAAGTTATGTTCAATTGAGAGGAAGATAATTGATAAGAAATTGGACGAGGAGCAAGCTTTGGAAGCAAGTAAAAATTTATGTCCAATTCAAGCTGGGCTTCAAGCACCGACCTCGAGACTTGGGTTCAATCCCAAAATTTTTCAGTAGGCGACAATCTGAGTAAGTCACATTACTATGCTTCTCCCTTTCATTATGCATCAATAATGAAGTTTAAATTGAGGATTCTTGTTGTCTAACTTGCAGTTTTCCAGTACACCTCGAACCGCGCTGTGCTCCAAGTGACGGAGGCAAACTACGACTCCTGCTCGACTAGTAGCTCGATCGATACTTATACCAGCGGCAACATTGTCATAGCTTTGTCTTCTTTGGAACGACCAGATAATGTAACTAAGGAATATAATATTAAATTACGACCGCAACGTTTTTAAAGTCATCCTTATACGGCGACCACATTTGCAATGTAGAAACATAATTATTTTTAGAAAACAAATTAAGCGAATTTGGTTAAATTACTATACAAAACATTTTACCTACAATTTGTTAAGACAGGGCATTTGTACAACAATTTGAAAATAACATTTCACCAACAATTCAGTTCAGTATAATCCTATGTTCAGTTACAGCACAGCACAGAATTTTGTGAAAGAACACACAAAAATTCTCAAAATCAGTAAAAATAAGCGAAAAAATCCAATCCAAATCTCATCAATCATCTCATCTCATCACTATACAAGCCATCTAAAATAAGAATGAATTAAAAAAAACTGAAAGTGGAAACAAAAATAAACCTCTTTTTTCCTTCTTTAAACCAAAAAATGGAAACTAAGAGCGAAGCATGGGTAGGAACATGTACTGTGGTGGTTGCTAACCTCATGTGCTCAGAGATCGGATCACATTTCAAGTCGTTTATCTGTAAAATTGTTATTGTCCGACTGGACCAGGAGCCACCAGTACCGGAGTCGGCTGATTGTAGGGTGGCACCGGCAACACTGTACTCGAAAGAGGAGGTGGAGGAGGAGCAGCAGCAGGAGGAAGTTGCGGTGGAGGAAGATTTGGGTCAGTGATAGGTGTTGGAGGTGGAGGAGGAGCCTCCTCAACGGCTGGTGGGTCAGGGCTAGGCTGGTTAGAGTCAGTGGCGGGCCAAGGGGGGCTATAAGAGGAGGAGGAAGAAAAAGGTGGTGCATTAGGGTAGACATTGGGAGGAGGGCCGCAAGAGTCGCCGTCGCACTTGTACGAAAGTGACTTATGGTGGCCGTGACGAAGCAGCCCGAATCCCAATACAAGACCCGAAACCACTAACACCGTAACTATGAAGATGAAGATCTTTGTTGCTTTCCCCACGTAACACATCTTTTTTATTGTTTTTTTTACCATACAAAGAACGAGAAGCTGCAAATCTGAAAAACAGGGTCTGTCCCTGTTTTTGTTAGATTGTGTGAGAAGATAGGATTTTTGATCTGGTCCTTGTTTCATTGTGAGTTTAATGCAACGGGAGGCGAGTTACTGAGTTTGGTGAGTGGTTGGGCTGGATTAGGGATCCAAGGGAAAAAGGGTTAGTGAATTAGTGATGGTTGCACGTGAAGGCCATTTACACGACTGGGAAATACGAGCTTTTGCAATGCTTCCAAATTTGTGCCCAAAAGCTCAATCTTTTACAACTCTAGCTCAAAGCTCTAGACTTTAAAGTTTAGCTTTTTGGTTTTGGGTAGTAGAGTTTGAAACTTGGTTCATATTGTTATATATGCCGTGGTTTGGGGTTTAATTATTAATAAGGATGGATCAAACTCGAGAATCATTCTTAAAAATTTTAAATTTTTTATATATTATAATTATTTTTTAACTAATTCCAACTTAAAGGAAGATAATGAAAATTTTTGTTCCTAACGAATATTAATTCTTAAAATATTATAAACTCATCGGTAATATAAAATCATGTGTATATTCATAATTATAAATTAATTTAGAGATTATATTATCGATTCAAACATTCAGATCTCTCATTTGTAGTTTTCGATGATTTGATACTATTTTCTGAGACCAGTTCAGAATCTATTAGGAATATCAAGAGAGTTCTTGGGCTATTCGAAGTGGTTTCCGAATTGAAACTAAATGTAAAGAAATCATGCTTGTTTGGGGTTAATGTCGATGGGGTCGTTGTTAAGGAGTGAGCAGAGTCAATCAAGTGTGACTGGGGGACTTTATCAACCAATTATCTTGGCCTTCCTTTAGGTTAGCTCATAAATTCAATCGGGAGTCGGTGGTGGACAAATTCAAGATGAACTTGGAAGGCTGGAAGAGCAAACTTCTTTCTTTCGGCGGGAGGTTAACCTTGGTATTAAATATGTTCTCTCCAACTTGTCGGTCTATTTTCTATCAATGTTTCAGATGCCGGCTATGGTAGCCTCAAAGCTAAACTCGTTGATAGCCAACTTTATTTGGAGATCAAAGTCGAATAGAACCATTAACAGGGTAAAATGGGTAGATGTGTGCAAACCGAAGAAGTTCGGGGGCTTGGGTTTCTTCTATTTGAGGATAAGAAACAAGTCTATGCTGGTAAAGTGGGTATGGCGTTATGGGCGAGAACAAAATTGTTTTTGGAGGAAAACCATTGATGCAATCTATGGATATGACACTAAATCTCTGCTCCGACTATCAATTTATTCGAGGAAGTCCTCTTGGGTATGGCGAAACATTGTTAATCCGGTTACTAAAGTAGATGATCAGTTCTCTTCCAAAGTTAAGTGTATGGTAGGAGATGGAAAAAAATATTTCCTTTTGGGATGATCCGTGGACTGCTGTCCCATCCCTTCGTGAGGCTTATCCGCAGATATATAATTTTACGATTAAGAAGTAGTGAATGGTTTGTGAATTTGGTTCCAGGTCTAACGGTCAATGGACTTGGAACATCAAAATTATGAGGGAGTTAGTCGAGTAGGAATCACGAATTCGGATTGAATTCGTGTGCACAATTTCTAATGCGGTGCGAAATGCGACCAAGGCGGATTATATTCGGTGGGTGGGCTCTTCGGGTGGCTTGTTTTCTCCCAGAAGTTTTTGGTGGTTTGTATCCTCATTCGAAGCAGTCATAGATTCTATTTGAAAAATCGTTTGGGCGAATCTCGCACCACCCAAAGTTGAAGCGTTCGTGTGGAAGCTCGTTCAAAATAGAGTCCCAACTTTAGAGGAGTTACCTAAAAGGGGAGTCCCGATCGCAGACTCCGCTAAGTGTGTCTTTTGTCGTCTTGAAAATGAGTCTCTCATACACCTATTTTGTCATTGCAATGTAATCTGGGAGGTATGGCTAAAATGGTGCTCCTTGTGGAACCTTAATTTCATCATGCATAAGGGTGAGCATTCGATCCAGTCGAGTAAAAATATTTCGAGTTATTCGAGTTGACTATTCGTATTTTATAATTCGAACTTAATTTGAAATTTTTTCAAGTCGAGTCGAGTTTAAAAAAAATTGAGTCGAGTTATTCGAATTTCTATACTAATTTTTATTATAACTACTTATAGTATCATGATAAGGATTGATTCTAATTTTTCAACTTTCTCTAACCATGTAAGATATATATTTCATATTCTTTTCACATTATAATGTTATTTAATATATCAAATACAATATAAAATTATAAAATATATTCATAATATTATATTTTAAAGAAAATATTTTGAGGGTAAAAATATTGACGAGAGTATAAAGGAGTCAAGGAATTGATGAGAAGAAAGAATTTGAAAACAATTGCAATCAAAAGATCAAATTGAGTAAAATTCAAAGTCAATGGACTAAATAAAAAAGAGAGTATATTTTTAGTAAAAAATAATAATTGAAGTTACCTAGGTAACCTATATTGGTATATGAGCATATGGTTTAAATTTGGTGAAAAACGAACTTAAAATACATGATGAATTGAAGAAATAAGAAAATTATGAAAAATTGAGGGACTAAATTGAAAAATAAAAACTTGTTGTCAAAAAGAGAAATTGAAAGAACATATGTATTCTACAATGGTTTAGGAGCATGTGATTCAAATTTGGTAAAAATTTGACTTAAAATGAAGGATAAATTGAAAGAATGATGAAATCAATGACTAAATCGTAAAACTGTCAAAATACTTGGTCAAATTTTTTGTCAATCGACGGAATCGGCCAAGAGGGGGTGAATTGACAATTAAAAATTTGGTGGAAGCTTTTGCAGAAAATTGAAAAGATTTGCACAATGATTTAGAGTAGTTCGACTTTCTCAACCAAAGTCTACATCCACTATCTTAGCTATCCACACTAAGGATTTTCCAACAAATTCACTAATTTGTTCTTTCTTTTGAGGCCAAAGAGATAACCTTACAACTTCCTCAAAAATATACCACAATTCTTGAGAAAAACTCTTTCTCAAAAAGAAGATTACAAATTTGCAAACTTACAAGGAAATACTCACAAGGTAGATTGTTTGCACAATTCTAGAACAAATAAAAGAACACTAAAAAATGAATACAATTGAGTACAAGTAGTGTTCTTGAAAGCAAAATGAATATTGAATGAAAAATAGGCTTGAAATACTCAAACTTGAGGTTTGATGTTTTCTCTTTGATTCTCTCTCGATTCTTGTTTCTTGTATTTTCTTGTTGTTGATCAATGGCTTCTAAGCTTGTTTAAATACTCATTCAATTGATTCTGAACGTTGGGGATGATTAGTGGAGACAATAGAGCCGTTTAAGTGTGAAAATAATTAATAAATTCAGTTGGGAGCGTTAGTGCATCGATGCATATCCATGGTGCTTAGGTGCATCAAGTGTAAATTCAAATATTTTGACCGTTGGACCCTTAGTGCATCGATGCATCAAGTGCATTCGATGTTTCAAAATAGCCAGAGTGCATCGATGCATGGCTAGTGCATCGATGCATCAAATGCATTCGATGTTTTCATAAAATCCTCAGTGCATCGATACATGGTATGTGCATCGATGCATGAAATGCATTCGATATTCAATTTATTTCATGGTGCATCGATGCATGAATTGGTGTATCACTATGAAAAATTGATTTTAGGCTTGATTTTGGTTCAAAATACTTTGTGAAAATTGTTTCAAAAATATATTAAGTATAAAACACAATTTTACACCTTTAGTAAGGTTTGAAATTGATCTTAAAGACTTGGAGTAATAATTTGATATTCGAGTAATTAAATCGAATATACTTAGAAAATCATTTGTAAAATCTTAAAATTCATTTAACTTAATTTATTATATCGAAACAAGCAAAATAAGATGCATCAAATTAACTTGTTAAGAAGTTAGATACATGGAATTCAATCACATTCAGCAAATCCAGGAATTAAAGGGCATTAAGCATTATATTACACAGAAACATGATTTAAACTAAGGCTAATTACGAGACCAAATTGAATTTATTCTAAACATGGAAGGAATTAACACATTGTTTCCCAAGACCAATAAAACACGCGGGTTTACAAGCTTTATACGGATCGGGCAACATTTAAATGGGTTTATTATATAACCTATTTTTAAAGCCTAATTTCAACTGTCTAATTTCAAGATTTCAGCTTTCCCCCCTTTCAAATGCTCTGATATTTTCAGGATGGAAAATCACGGCCATCACCGCCCTCAGTAACTAGATATTTACAAAGTTCATCCTTTTAACCGCTTTAAAGCCTGAAACATAAATCTAAGGTTAGTTTTTCAAGTAACCAAGTAGAATAGAGTAGATCTAAAGAAAAGGGTTACGTTGTTTTTACCTTTTTCAAACTTAGATATCCTCTTTCGGACACTAGTTTGCTCGGAGTTTAAAGGTTCGTTCTCCGTTTTAATGCTTGATTCTTCTTTCGTAAACTTTTCTTCTAACGCTCGGATAATTTGATTTTTTTCAGAATTCCTTCTCCTCGGGTTTTTTCAAATCGTTGTCACTTCCTCTGATTTTGGTTCCACGTTTTTGTGTATTTTTCGTATGTAATCGTAGTTCCCTTATTTAGTTTGATTACATACCATTTATAAGGTTTATAAATCCCTATTTTTAGCCTATTTTCGGAGTCCTAACCGAACTAAACTAGTGGCTTTGTTTACTGTTTGTTCGAGGAAACCGGAATGGAACTCGGGTTATTGGAGTCCTTGTTGAAGCACGGCGTGAAGGCCAAAATATCCGACGGTAGGATCGGGCTGTTGGGGCTGCTGCGCGGCGCTACTTGGAATCTGCTAGGGTTCTGGAAACCCTAGCCTAAACTGGTTCACGTGGAATTTGGGTGCTGGGCCACTTTCGTACTGGGCCTTTTGGGTCACGTGTATTGGACCTGTTCATGTAACATAAGACCCAAATAAACAAACTTTATATATTATATA